GGATCTCTCAGAGGCCTCACCCAGGTCTGAGCAACTCTCGGAACTGGTTCCTCACTTCCCTATTGTGTTGAAGTAAAGTTCAGACACTTCATCAGTTGATATGTAAATATTTCCATGTGTGCCTGAAATATGGAGCTTTCTGTTAGAAATACATAACCTAAATATCACACCTAATATTTTGAAACAATTCTATAATATTAATTACCCAGCCAGAATGACCTTGTTGCCTACTACTTGTCATACATCCATTTTATTTCTGAAGCCTATTTTTGCTAGGCATAGAATTCTAGGTTGGTAGTTATTTCTTTAAAATAATAAGCATTTTGAAAAAAATCTGCTTCTGACTTCCATGGTTTCTTCTTTTGTTAAAAAAGGCTGCTGTCATTCTAATTGTTCCTCCTTTGAAAATAATTAGTCTTATTTTCTTCTGACTTCTTTTAGGATCCTTTCTTGCTCTTTGTGTGTGTGTGTAGTGGTGTGTTTTGTTTTGTTTTGGTATCAGGGATTGAACCCAGTTATGCTTAACCACTGAGCAACATTTCCAGCTCTTTTTATATTTTATTTAGAGATAGGGTCTCACTGAGTTGCGTAGGGACTAACTAAGTTGCTGAGGCTGGCTTTGAACTCAAGATCCTCCTGCCTCAGCCTCCCTAGCCCCTGGGATGTTTAGTGGCTTTGCTATGATGATATTGGGTATGATTTTGTTCAGGGTTTACATTGCTCCTTCAGTTTGTAACTTGATGTCTTTTATCAGTTTTGGAACTTCTTGGTTATTATCTTTTCAAATATAATTTCTGCCCTATTCTCTTCTTCCTCCCCTTCTACATGCATGTTAGATCTTTTCACCATATTCCTGCACCTCCTAGAGTTCTGCCTATGTTTTTACATCTTTTATCACTGTTCTTCATTCTGAATATTTTCTTCTGAACTATTGGCCACTAAAACTCTACTTACCTGGATCTATTCTGTTCTTAAATGTACCCACTGACTGCTAATTCAAATCAATGTATTTTTCAACCATCCATTTGTTTATTTTTAGATTTCCCAGTTTTCTGCCAAATTAGTGTGTGTGAGTGTATGTGTGTGTGTGTGTGTGTGTGTGTGTGTGTGTCCACATGTACACATGCATGTTGGAGGATTGAGGAATCAAATGTAGGGTCTTTGGTTTGATATTGAAATTATCAGTGTCTATCCTGGAGAAAGAGAGAAAGCAGGGAGGGAGGGAGGGAGAAAGAAAGGGAAAAGAAACACGAAAACCATCCCTGGACCCTACATGTACCTCCAGCCACTACCTTCTACTCCCTACCCGATCCTTGGTCCCTGTGTTGTGGCTGAGGTCTTGGAAGACTGCCATGTTAGAAGGACACTGCACAATTTTCAGTAATGTTCTTATTTGACAGGCAGATCTTTCTGCACAAAAATTCCTTCTTTTTACAAAAGCACTACTCTTCCTTAGCTTCTCTGATACCACAATCCCCTGGCTTTATTCTCAGTTTCTGTTGGTTTCTTCTCCCCTATCTGACCTTTACAGGGGGACTTGCCTCAGTCTGCCAGGTTTTTCTTCTGATTCTGCCTCAAAATAACTCAACAGGTTTGGGGGTTTTGGTCTATGGGATTCCTGATCTCATAAGGGAAGTCTGTATGCATTGTTTGGTGATGAGATCCTCTGAAACTGTCATTAGGGAAGAGGGAAAACTCAGGATTTTGAATAGCTGAACTTATCTGCTGCCAGGCCATATGGAACCTCTTTATGGGGTAAGTGGGGGCAGCATGATCTGGTTGAGAGATACTGTCTAAAGGGACAAGTACCCCATCTAACACCTTGGATTCTCATATTCAATAGCCTTGACCTCCACTCCACTTTAGTCAACTGCTCTGTAATTACAGCACAGAGTTTGCCAGCCTTCCATGGTGTTCCTTATCTCTGTCATCTTCAAGCCCACCCTCTTTTTTTCCAGCCAGGGTCCTTGTCTACGCTTCTGCTGTCTCTCCTGTCTTATCCGCCCTTCAGTCTTCAACCCATTTCAATCTTTGACCCTGCCACTTGATAAACACAACAACAACCATTTAGTAAGCATTTCTGTTTGCCAGGTAGCCTACTAGTGCTTAACGTGTACTATCTCATTTATTTTACCTAACCCAAAGCTAGGAAGTCAATGGTATTCTTTATTATTGTTATTTTCAACCCCTATGAAGTGCAAATAGGTTCAACAGCTTGTTCAAGCAATTTCCAGAGAGGAGTCTTAAACAGGGTGACATGACCCCAGAACCAGTCCTCTGAACCACTTTCTCTCAATTTACCAGTTTCCTCTTGGCCTCATGTTCTCTTCTGGACCCTGTGGCTCTTTCCTTCAGTCTCTTTTTATTTTTATATATTTTGGTACCAGGGATTGAGTCCAGTGGGTTTAGCCACTAAACCACATCTCCAGCCTCTTTTATTATTATTGATGAGACAGGGTCTCACTAAGTTGCTCAGGTCCTTGCTAAGTTGGTGATGCTGGCTTTGCACTTGCAATACCTTCAGTCTCTCTAGTTCATGGGTAAAATAGGGTTCAGCAGTTTTCCATTGGCCTTCACTGTCTGTCCTCAGAATATTTCTGTCTCCTTAGGTCACAGCAGTGGTTCCCAGCCCAGCTCTGTGCTTTCCATCCCTGTTGGTCTCCTCCAGGACTTTGGGTGTCTAGTCTCTCTTTCATGTGTCTGCCGTCCCAAATGCTTTATTAAATTATCTCCTTCAGCAAATAAACATGGTCCCCTCTTACTAGGTGAGACTTCTGAAGCATTGATCCCATCCCATCCACTGTCCATATTCTGTAGCCTCCTGCTTCCCCCTTGACCCACAGCATCTGGCCTCTGCCCTGCCAACCCACTGGAATGCCTTGCCCCACATTTCTGAATGATCTCTGCAATAGTTAACACTGCCTTCCTTACCTTATTTCATCATATTTGATACTGTTCACCAATCTACCTTCTTTGGACACCTTATAACCTGGGCTCCCAGGGGATTTCATTGTTCTGGGGATTGAACCCAGGGGACTTAGCCACTGAGGCATATCCCCAGCTCTCCCCAGGCCCTCATTTTGCACATGTACTCAGGGTGATGTGATAACTAACTATCTGTGCTACTCCATCCCTCCTGTATCCAGCTCTCCACCAAGACTTCACGACCAAGTTGCAGGCCATTAGCCTCATGTTCTAGCTCACCTTGCCAAAAGCCAATTCTCAGAGATGATCAAAACTATACTCTTGAAGGAAACTATTTTTATTGGAGTGGGTAGTCTTAACAGCTTTGTAATATTTGAGGGGTGCTTTGGTTGTCTGGTCATCATTTTATCTTCCTAAGATCATTTTCCTGAGTGTTCCATTTGCCTTTGTGACAGTAGGAGCTGGACAGAGGGGAAGACACAGGGAGGAGTCAGTGCATTAGGGCCAGGATACTGCTGCCAGAGGAGAAGGAGACTGGGGAGCAGAGAAGGGGAGACTGAGAGAATATCTTTATGAAAATATTGTTAATTATAATCTTATTCAGGAATCTGTTCATATATTTTTATAAATATATTGATGAAGAACCTATTCATTGACTTCATATTCATGAATATATCCATGAATATATGCTTGACCAGAGTTAACACTTTGAATGTTCTTCCAGCCAGATCATTCTTATAAATGGAAAGACAGTAGTGAGGAATCTGTTTTCAGAGTAGACACCCTGGTGACTCCCCCTTCTGTGAGCTGCTTTCAACCAACTGCTTTCAACAGGGACCTGGAGCAGGGACAAATAGAATAATCCTTGGAATGCCGTTAGCAACGGGCTGTGTCAGTCAGCTTCCCATTGCTGTGACAAAATACCTATTATAAATCAACTCAAGGGAGGAAAGGTTTATTCTGGTTCATGGTTTCAAAGGCTTCAGTCTATGATTGGCTGAAATTTCAAAAAAGTTTTTCAGTTATAAAATATTTCAGGCCAGGGAAAATATAGAGAAAAGCATAATCAACGGCCCCCACTTTCTTGAACTTTAACATTTGCCACATTTACTTTGAATCTTATTTTTTAAGAAATAAAACTTAAAAATGTTCAGTTAGAGCTCTCTCATTACCCCTTCCCTCCATTCCCCTTCTATTGGCCTCACAACTCTCATTTGTGTGCCTATCTTTTCTGGCAAGTTTTCATACTTTTAGTACTTGTATGTTTATATACATAACAATTTTACTAGTTGTTTGTTTACATAATAGGTAATGGTATTTTGCTTGTGTTTTCTAATATCTATTGTGATATAGTTTGCAAATCACAAAAGGTGCCATTTTAACTACATCTCAGTGGTTTTATTAAGTTAACTGAGTTGTGTAACCATTAACACAATCAAATATCTTGTTTTTGTTTAAACAACAGCTTTATTGAGATATAATTCACATCCCATAAATTTTACCCATTTAAAGTGTACAATTCATTGGTTTTTAGTATATTTACAGAGTTGTGTAACCATCACCATATACAATTATTCAACATTTTCATTGACCCCCCCAAAAAAACTCTATACCATTATCAGTCAGTCCCTGTCCTCCCCACCCCAAGTCTCTGGCAACCACTCATCTGTCTCTGTAGGTGGACCTATTCTGGACATTGCATAGAGCACTATAATAAAGATGGCTTTAAGGAGTAACTACTGAACGCTAAACACTGGTCCTGGGATCTTTGTGGAATTTAGTATAATACACAGGTAGTTTAGATTTTCATTTCTATAACTTGTAGTCTATGGCAGTTTTTGTAAAGCTGTTACTAGAGAGTAACTATATACAAGATATATCTAAATATCAGTGTACATGTGACTGATGTGCATTTGGGGCATTCCCAGGCAGACCTGGAGGAGTAGGTTGTCCTCAATTGGAGCCCAGGGTGAGGCAGAAGGAACCCAAGTCTAGTCTAGGTGCAGGGTGCTCCCTGCTGGCATGAGCATTGAGTGTGGTACTGAGGGAGTGTTACTTTTTCTCTTGTTCCCAAGACAAGCAGTGATTGAAGAACAGGTGAATGATCACTTTCAGGGGCATCTGGACGCAATTTACCATCTCAAGCAGAATCTGGCCTGCACTGAAGAGAAAATGTCCTATCTGTCCTATGAGAGAGCCAAGGAAATATGGGTGAGAACCTTGGCTGCTGGGGTGGGGGTGGCTTTTGAGAAAGGGCTAGTAAGAAGGATGTAGGGAAGAGTGAATCCATTCTGATGCCCCCATACCAGGGCATGAACTGGATTTTCCAGCTATCTCCCTCCTGAGTGTGCAGTGGCAACCCACACCTTTGCTTTAAAGCTAGCGATGTCCACCCTTCATGTTTACATGAGCTTCACTTCCCACCATCCAGACTAGCTGCTTTGGGAGCTTTGGCAATGTAGTTTTCATTCTAGGAGCAGTCGCTGGCCCTGACCTGGAGCCTGTGACTTGCAGATCCAGGGTGGGACTTGACAAGTTCCAGAAGATGCTGGTACATGGAGAGCTTCTGAGAACCTCTCCTTTGGACCTGGCTTCCCACCCCTTACTCTATTCCATACCCATAGCTCTTACTGCTGTCCTTGGTTGACCCTGTCCCAAGCAGGTCCTCAGCCTCAGGAGACAGTGGACGGGGAGCATGACCAAGTCAGTACGGCCCTCCATAGCAGCTCTCTGTCTCTATTGTACATGTCCTGGATATTCTCCAGGTCCTTCCCAAAAGATCCAACTCAACAATACATGTTGCACACCCCCAGCAACTCAATTAAATGACCACAGTTTCATTCTGATTTCTGGTGAGTGTGCATGTGTTTGTTGCCTGCAGGAGGTCATGGAGACTTTCAAGAGTCGAATATGCAAGCTAGAAACTCTACAACAAGTCACCCAAGTGGAGATGATGGCAAACCTTAGAAGCCGTCCCCAGGAGTATTTGTTCAGATTCGTGAGCCTGCTCCTCACACTGGCCACAGCCCTCTTGGTCTTTGTCTCCGCTCTGTGCTCCTGCCCCTTGCCTCTGATCCACTCACGCTTACGCACATTCACTGTACTCATGCTGCTCTTGCTTGGGGCCCTTGCCTGGCAGAAGTGGCACACCATCGCCACTGTAGACTGGCAGGCATGGGTCCCTTCAAAGTGGAGACTGGACTCTAAGAACTCCAAGCCTCCATCGGATAGATCTTAAGGGGCTGGGAGGACCATCACCTGAGTTTGCTAGTGTCCTCCCTGTTTGGGGGTGTTTAGGGTGCCAGTAAGCCCTCCCTAGACAGCTACTTCACAGCTCTTTAATTCCATAACCACCAACCTGGTGAGATGTATGCAGATGCCTACCTGCCTCGCACTTCCATTTTGCTATGATGCTTCCATGCCATCTGTAGACATGGGACTTGGAAAAGATTAAAGTCCATGATGTACTGCTGCTCTCTTCTTCATCTTCCTTGCACCCTCTCAAGACCCATTGCTCAGGTGGCCCCAAACTGCAGTAGCAGCCTCTGTGACTTTGTTGGTTTTGGCAAAGAGAAATTATATTTATTTCACAGGGATGGAGAAGAAGGGGAGACATGGCCAAAGCCACAGTGGGTGGGACAGGTAGGAAGCTGACTTCATGCAGGAGACACTGAAGAGACAGATGAAGCCTCTGTTCTGGAGGCGCTGGAGAGTTCAGAGGTATCATCAACCTTCTTTCCAAAAAGCTGCAAGATACAGTTTCTAAACTGGAAGGACAGAAAGCATTATTCAGCAAAGCAGAAGGGGCCAGTGTGCAGTTCTAAAGGGCATTCATTGTCATCTCGATGGTTTCACATCTTCCTGTTTCCCACTCAGAATCCTATCAGAGGGTTGGAGGAAGGCTTAGGTCATTTCTTGTACATGGGAGTTGTTTTAATCACTTGACCAAAATACCTGACAAGAACAACTTATAGGAGGAAAAATTTATTTTAGGTTGACAGTTTTAGAGGTTCAGTCCATGGCCAGCTGAATTCATTAGTCTTGCCCTGAGTTGAGGCACAACATCATGGCAGAAGGGCCTGGCAGAGAAGGCTGCTCAGCTCATGGCAGCCAGGAAGAAGAAACAAAAGGAGAAGCTGACTACAAAGACACAATCCCCAAGGGCATGCTCCCAGTGTGCCCATGTGCATACTGTTACCAGCTAGTAGTACATTTATATTATTGACACATCAAATAGATTAATCCATTGATGAGGATATAGCTCTCATAATCTAATCATTTCACCGCTGAACGTTCCTAACACATGAGCTTGGTTGGAGAATCCCTCATAGCCAAGTCATAACATTTGATGGACATCTGATTTATCTAATTTAGCAGTTGATGGTGACTTGTGTGAGTTAAATGGCATTTCTCAAAGATATGTTCAGGTCCCAACACTGAAACCTCTGAATGTGTCCTTATTTGGAAACAGGATCTTTGAACATGTAATTAAGATGTATGTGAAGATGGGGGTTATACTGGTTAGGGTGGACCCTAATCCCATGGCTGATGTTCTTATAAGAAGGGGAAAATTTGGGCATAGTGACACAGACACAGAGGGAAGAAGGCCATATAAATGTGAAGGTAGATTGGAGTAATGCATCTTTGAGTTAAGAAACACCAAGGATTGCCAGCAAACACCACAAACTAGGAGAGAGGTACAGGGCTCATTCTCCTTCAGTGCCTTCAAAAGGAACCAACCCTACCAACACTTTGATTGCAGACTTCTGGCCTCCAGATCTGAGAGAGACTTAATTCTTATTGTTATAATTCATTAAGTTTGTGGTAGTTTGTTATGGAAGCCCCAAGATACCCATGCAGTGACCAAATACAATGCTAGTTAAGGAGACCATGCACACAATGACTGGTTTCTAAAGTGTCTGGCAAGAGGCTTATAGGCATTTTAGTAAATATGAATGTGATTGTGACCTTATTTGTAGCCCATCAATTTTAGGATTAGGTAAGGACTAGGTCAACAACAGTCCAGCCACCTCCCTCATCTCTTTACCAAGAAAGTCTTCTGGTAACAGTAGGGTACTTCTGTTTGCTAGTTGATTCCTGAAGAAATCTGGGTCATGATAATTTCTCAATTACATCTCATATCATTACTCAACTACCCATGATGCTTTGAGAAATTCGATCAAAATTACTCCCTAAATATTTCAGCCCTATTCTTGATTACCTCCAGCTCCCTCTGTCATCAAAATTCTAAAAATAAAAAAGATGATTATTGAAATTAATAAGAAACAGGTTGATCAGCAGAATGGACTCAGCTAAAGAGCTGGCAGAGAAGGCTAAGGAATTCAGTCAACAAATGCATTTGACATCTACTTACTGAGTGCCTACTATGTGCCAGACTCTGTGTTCTGGGGGGCAGATATAGCAGTGAAAATAAGAAAAAAAAAAACCCTATGTCCTCACAGAACTTCATTCCAGAAAGTTCTCTCAGAATGCAGCAGGACAGGATCACAATATGGAAAGGGTGAAAGCAAAGTTCAGAAGTCTGGCAAGATTCAGAAGTATAGACATCTGTCTAGAAGGGGGAGCTCTAGAAGGCAGAATGAAAAGAATCAGGTAGAGAGAGTACTTGGCAAGATAGTTTAGGATTCCAAAAACTGAAACCAGATCTAAAAAGAGATCCTCCTGAAAGAGAGGAAGTGAACCAGAGATCAAATTGTATTTTCTGGGCATGGACATGCCAACAAGACAGTTCTCAGGAATCAATTACAGAAACAGTCCTACTTACTATTAAGAAGTTACCAGGAAGAATGGGTGCTTAATGAATGTCTGGCTTAATACAGTCAGGGACAAGCTGAAGGGGATGGAGTCATGGGGCAGCTGTTAAGATGGAAGAGCAGATCTGGGGGTGTAGCTCAGTGATGCAGCACTAGCCTAGTGATGCAGCACTTGCCTAGGCAACTTCAGTCCCCAGAACTGCAAAAGAAAAAGAGGACAAAAGATGAAAGTGGAAAGAACAGTGGATTGGAAGTCAGACATTGAGTCTGGTGAAATGGGAAGACCCTGCAGAATTTTCTGGTTACTATCAAGTAACAGCTGCACCTTAATGAAATATAAATGATGGATTCAAGGAAGAGTAAGGTGAGCTGCACTTAGAAGATGATGAGGTCACCTGTAACCTACCAAGAGAATCTAGGAGTCATGTGCAACTTGCTACCAAAGCCATATAGGAATGGTTTCCATTAGGCAAGACCATTGCAAGACCAAAGTGTGTTTCCCCCAAAGTAACCCATGAACACTCTTAAATTATTGGTCAGTACAACAAAGAAGAACTTGTTTTTGTTCTTACAGGAAGACAAATTCAAGAAGTTACAGTTTGAAAGTGGAAAAATAAAGAGAAGAATGGAGTCTGTAAAACCAAGAATGGTATCCTTAGGGTCAGTGTAGAGGAGTTCACTGAATCCTAGAGCATTTGAATTCCAGGAAAGCCCCTGAAGCTTGATGACCCTAGTAATAATACCTAGAAGAGGGAAGAGCTTATAGCACACAAGCATGTTGGGAAGTATCTCCCTCTGGCTGAGATGAGAAATGGATTCCAGAGTATGTGCCTAAGACTTTTGCTAATGGCCAGATGAATGACTGGCTGTAGTTGGGTCACATGTTTAGCCTTTTCCTACTCATTATCCTAGAGGGTCATTAGCAGGCTTCTCAAATCCTCTGTGGGTTTTTTGTTGAAGACATGATTCCAGGTAGGAACCCTCACTGGGTTCTTGTGGGGTATGTTCTTGTGGAGTTTGATGTGTTTATGGCACTTCTTACCTGCCTGTTCATAAAGACGTAGATAACAGGATTGTAGATAGTGGCACTTTTGGCAAAGTAGGCTGGTACGGCGGCCACCAGAGGGTGGAAGGCATAGCCAGGGTTGGCAGTAGCAAAGCATGCAAAGGAGGCGTAGGGCCCCCAGCAGAGACAGTATGCAAGGACCATCACCACCACCATGCGTGTCACTTCCTTCTCAGCCTTCTGGGTGGACTCGGATTCTTTCTGCTGCTTCGCCACCTTGGGGAGAGAGGAACAGTGAGTGGGGGAGTCACCTGGGGTTCTGTATTTGTTATTGCTTGGGCAATAGTCAGGGAGGCAGCAAGAGGAGGGTGACCTAGGGCTAGGGAGATGAGGGTAGGAAGAGATGGTCACCTGCTACCCCAACCCTGCTGGAGGTGGCCAGCTTTCACCTGAGTCCTGCCTGGGGCAGACACCAAGGCTTGGGCTTTGAGATAGTGAGCAGCTGTCCTGGCCAAGGATGACTCTTTGAAGGTCTTTGGATTTATCCTGGCAGGAGCTTTGGAAAGGAGAATTAGAGACTAATCTCCTTAGCCTCATCTAATCACTTATCAGAAGTCCCCTCCTGTGCTCAGGTCTGAGTGGGGGCCTAAACAGATCACCAGAGGGTCAAGAATGAAGGAGTGAGGGCTGAGGATGTAACTCAGTAGGCAAGCACTTGTCTAGCATGTGTGAGGCCCTGGGTTTAATCCCCAGCACTAAAGAATGAAAGGGCTAACATGGTAGGAAATGGCGGGGGAGGCAAAAGCAGCCGAGGTTGCTCTAGCTAAACTAGAGGTTGGCAGGGTGCCCAATGGTAATACCAGAGTCACACATGCAATTCTCTCAGGCTTTCTAGAACAGGATTGGCCAGACTGCAGACAAAGGTTGTGCAGCCACCACCTCTACTTCCAGAACATTTTCACCACCCCAAAAGACAACTGCCCTGGATTCTTTGTCTTCATCCATACCTGATGGCAGGTAGCTAACTGAGTTGGGATGAAAGAAAATCTATGAGGGCTGGGATTGTGAGGTCTGGGACAGCAGGGCTGGGCCCCACAGACCCAGAGCTAATACTGCCCAAGCCATGGTTGGATACCTGTAGGAGCCAACTAAGTTGGTTCTGATATGTGAGCGCCAACCCAGGGGACCAAATTGCAGCCTCCAGCCCAAGGCATTGAGGTGATGGAGCTTATCACAAGTCCATGGCTTCCTCTAGGCAGAGCTTGTAAGCATCTGCTGATCCGATTTTGGACATAAGCAGCTTCACAAAGGAAAGGCACCACCCTGGAGGGCTTTCTGCTACCTGTGTCAGGCAAGGTCCCCTCAGTTAACAGATGATATGTGGAGATGGAGCTAATGATAGGGGAGTTGATAGACAAAGGGACAACTTTATGGTGTGGGTAAGACCACAAGGGGAACACAGAGCTCTCAGTATCCCAGGACCCAATCTTAATCTTCTCCTTTGCTCTTATTTCCTGAAGGGGCTCCCTAGTGATAATCCAGCTGCCATGGGGGTAACATTGGGTGGGGGTGGCTATGTATGGGATCAGCTTTCCAGGGTAGAGGGCCAGACACAGGAAGTTGGAGAGTAGGTCTAGGGGACAAATGACACTCTCAAGTGTACTCCTTGGTCCACCCCAACAGCCCTGTGAAAGGGATAAGGATGCTCTGGTGGCTTCACTCCATGAGAGAACTGTCCTGGGTCAAGGGAAAGACTCAGCTCTGCTCCCTAATTGGAAGCAGGAGGGCAGGGCAGTCTCTTCCCATCCTGCATGGATGAAGACAAGGGATCCAGGGCCAAAATGGAACCCTGGGTGTGCACCCAAAGGAACTGCCTGATTCACATCACCAGGTCTTAACATTTTCTTATAGGGGTGGAATCCACTTATCTGAGGATTTAAAAACAATAGTTTAAGATTCTCAGTGGACTGGTTTGAGAGCAGAGCAGCTTGGAGGCAGGAGAGTACACCAGGTAAGCCTCTGTCTTCACCCAGACACCCTGCCAGCCAGGGGTGAGGTCAGGAGGGAGGGGGACTTACTGCTCGGATGGCCAGCCACACTTGGAGGTAGCAGAGAATGATGATGCTGAGTGGGATGATGCAGCAGGTGACCATGAGGACCATCATGTAAGACTGCACCCCAGGGTATGAGTTGCCACTGAACACGTCTGGGCCACAGGATGTCTTCAGGCCATAGGGCCAGTACCTGAAGAGAAGGGCCAGTGGCCCATCCTGATGCAGGCTGGGGCAACCTGGGACCCCCAGCCCAGGTACACTCCTAACTTGCAGTTTTTAAATTGAGGTGAAATTCACATTACAGGAAATGAACCATTTTGAAGTGAACAGTTCAGTGGCATTTAATATTCACAAGGTTGTGCAGCCACCAACTCTACTTCCAGAACATTTTCACCACCCCAAAAGACAAGCCTTGGGTAGGATTTTGAAACTTTTGCTTATTCCAAGGACTTACACCTTCTCTCTTTTTATCTGGTTCCAGAAGATTTTCATCACCCTATTACACCTCTTTTTTTCAAAGGGAAGGCAAGAGTTCCTCTTGTTCTGATTTAAGAACTGCTGTGACTACCTGAATTTTTATTTCTCAGGTCAACTAGGCCATGACTGTAAAAAGGGACTTGCTCACCAACTGGCTATGCCCCAGAATGATGGAAGCTTCCCAAAGAAAGAGGCTTCCCTCTCTAAACATGACAAGATTTTATTCTTAAGATTGTCACGTAAGATGACAAATGTGTCATCTGTGTCCTGTCCCTCCTGATCAAATATCTGAGTCATTTACTCATAAATTAGGGTCTTCTCCCAAAGAATCAGCCTGGCCAGGATACAGATGACCTACAGGCCCAGGTGTACCTACATCCTAAGAAGCCTCTGAATGTGGGAAAGAGGCAGAAAGTATGAGAAAGGTCTAGCACAGAGCTAGCAAGAGGGCCCTGGAATCCAAACTTGCCCAGCATCAGGGACCATTTCTATATTGCAGCCAATCAAATTCATGTGTATTGCACACTTGAAGGAGTCTGGGGAGAATCTTGTGCTTCCCTTCACTTTATGCACAGGAAATGATTTGCCCCCAAGGTTACAAAGTCTGATCCTTCCCACTTGGCCCTAAAGGAGCCAGCCACATTTCTGGCTCCCTTGCACCCTTACCTGCTCCAACCAAAGATGGGTGGGGCTGTCCACACAGCAGACCAGATCCAGGAAAAGGCAATGCCCACAATAGCCAGCTTGGCATCAAATCTCACATTGCCAAAGGGCTTGCAGACCACCAGCCACCTCTCCCAGGAAATGATGGCCAGGGACCAGAGGCCTGTGATCCCTACATGGGAGAGCAGACAGAGGGGGACTTTGAGACAAAGCAAAGGACAAACAGCCTCCAGCATCACTGTTTCCTTGTCAGAGTAGCAGACAGCTTTCAAAATCAAGCATTTCCCCTCCAAATTGCCAACTTAATTCTCCAAAAAAAGTGTTTTCAGGTCCTGGGTGCAAAGGGCTTCTTTCCCCACCTTGCCTCCTCACCAGCTCTAGCAGCTTAATTCCATCCCTGCTCCACCTTGTTACTCTCCTCTCCTCTCCCCTTTTCTTTCTTTTTTCTCTTTCATTCCTTTCTTCCATCCTTTCTTTCGTTCTTCCTTTCCTTTCCTTTTAATGTCAACTGCTTTTCCTCTGCAGCAGGCGCTCAGAGCTCTCAGTTTGGCTATTTAAGTTTCATGCCAGCCAGTCATGCGATCCTGAGGCTGGCAGCTTAGAACTTCTGGAGCTCACTCAACCTCCGCATCCCATCACCAAAGAGGAGACAAGAAAGAACCATAGCAGCTGATAGGCCTGTACTTTTTCACCCTTGGGGGCCCTGTTGGTACTTCTTGTCCTCTTTGCAACTAGTCCTTCCTTCCTCTGATACCATCAGTGGAAACTCTGATGGCCATATCCATACCAGCATGACTCTGAGATGCTGTTGTTCCAACTAAGAGCAAGGAAGTGGGCTGTGTCTAGTAACCTGTGCCCCTCCTGCCAATTCCAGTTCCTTTAGGCATTTGGGAACTGCTGAGATCCCCCGCAACCAACCAGAGTTGGGCAGGTGAGACAGCCTTCCATCTCCTGCCTTTGTCCCAGAGGTTGGCACACAGAATTCCGGGCTCCATGACCTGAGGTGGAAAAGCAGCATCTTTCATTCCATTAATAGACACTTGTCATTTCCTTCTATTGTGAATGTGGCAGTATTAGCAATACCCAGAGAAGTCATAGTTGTTTTCCTATTACTCTACAGAGGTGGTGGACTTTTTTCAAAACATCACCCACATTTTTTACTACACTGGAATTTTAGTCGTTGTCAGGGAAGATTCTGTTATTTGATACTTTAGTACAGAACAGTGTCACTAATTCTTTCTTTCTTTTTTTTTTTTTTTTGGTAGTGCTGGGGATCGAACCTAGGGGCTTCATGCATGCTAGGCAAGCACTCTATCACTGAGCCACATCCCCAGTCCTCACTAAGACTTTTAATAAATACTTTTAATACTTGTATTTTAGTGGAAGACTGTCACTAATTAATATTTAATACTTTGAAAATTATTTTTCAATATAATGAGCTGATTTTATAGTCCTATAGATATCATTTCATGCATTTACAAGTCTTCCCAGAGGGCTAAGGGTGTCCTCGGCACTAAAACTTATGCCAAAGTGCACCCATATGACCCAAGAACACGCTGTGAGGAGCCAGGTGTGGTGGCGTGTGCCTGTAGTCCTAGGTATTCAGGAGGCTGAGGTGTGAGGATCACTCGACTCCAGGAGTTTGAGACCAGCCTTTTGGCAACATAGAAAGGAGACCTCATTTTAAACAAAACAATACAACAACTACAGAAACACCATGAGAAAGGCAAGTAGGAAGACCTGGCACAAGCAGAGATAGATGATGCAAGGGGCACCTTGGGAAGGGAGATGTAGCCAACAAAGCACACACCTGCCACAGAAAGCAATGGACTCAAGGGATGGAGTTTCTCTCTGACTTTACTCAGTCACTTCACTTCTATACCATTGGGAGAGTGCTGGCATGTGGGTCAGCACCTCCTTGGTCTGAGCCATCATTTGCTAGTGTGAGGCAAGAGGCAGGGAGTAGGCTAAGAAGAATGGCCAGGAGGCAAGAGCAGGAGCTGCTTCTGGTGGATGTTGTGTGCCTGGTTAGGCAACTGGGGTTTTAGTGAGGCCCATTGGTGGGTCCCCCATCTCCAGGCTCCTCGTCCTGAAATAAAGTCTCTACTCCTGAGTATAACATTCATGGATTCCAAGACTTAGACCTTCCCACTTCGTGTCTGCTCAAAAGAACCACAGCGCTGTTACTCTGCTCCCTGGACTGTCAACCTTCCATGCCCGCTCCTTACCATTTTCTCCTCTGAGAAGACTAAGAGGATATCATGTGCTCACTATGTTGGAACAGTCCCCCTCCCCAGCAAAGAGCCTGGCATAATGGTACTTCTTGGCCACTGTTTATGAACCTGAGCCATTTGTGGCCCACAAGGATATTAGTGATGGAAATGAGGAAAAGGGTCTGTGATCTAGTCTTGATATCCCCAAAGCTGTAATGAGAATCTTGTCTTTCCTTAGGGGAAGCGTACACTGTGTAGGCAACCAAGAGGCAAAGGAGTCTGGCTTGAGAGATGGGATGAAACGGCACACATCTCTGATTCAGGTGGGACTTCTGTCCAGGGTGTCAAGAACCCTCCCCTCCTATACTGTTCTGAGATTATCTGGCCAGCCACACAGCCCCAAAGTGGTTGTCCCCCAGCAGAGGCTGTCTCAAGAGTAGGAACTCATGGTGTCTTGGACTCAAGCAAAGAGTATGAAGTGGGTGCTCAAATGGCAGCCTCCACAACCCTGGAAGCCTGTCTTCCCACTCCTGTGATGGCCTTGACCCAGCTTCCCTTGTGGGTCTGCCTCCCTTCATATTTGCACCACACACTCACACACACTATGGATGCACCTCAAGGTTTGTCATGTGGGGGTTTTCTTTACACACACCAGGTGGGGTCTCCCTGGCTTACCACACACGGAGACAGTGTAGCCCTCCACAACACACAGAGGGTGGCCCAGTACGAAGTAGCCGAAGAACTGGTTCACAACACTGATGGTGCTGGCAATGACGGTTTCTGCTAGGTCAGCGATTGCCAAGTTCACCAGGATCCAGTTCAGAGGGTGGCGCAGCTTCTTGAACTTCATGGTGGCCACCAGCACAAGCCCATTAGTGAAGACGGATGCGATAACCACAATGATCATCCAGGTGCTGGTAATGTGGTACACCCATCTGGGAGCAATGTGGTAATTGGGGCCTTCAAAGGGGCCTGGAGGCAGGAGGTAGAATAGAGAGAGGAGTTGGGCAGCAGCATCGCCCACCTGCACTGGTGCCCCAATTCCACCTTTCCCTCCCCTGTCAGAGCCTCTCCCACTGAGCCCCCACCCACTTCCTGCCCATCATCCTCGCCTTTGCTTATTCTCAAACTAGCTCCCCTTCTTCCTGTTTCTCAAGTTAGAGGCCATTGCATGATGGTTACCTACACTGGCAACCTGAAACAAAGAACAGAACTCCTCATGGTCTCTGCCAGTTGCTGATCTGCAGCTCCCAGTAGTTGAGTCACCACTTGGAGTGACAGTTGCATACCATTGCTTCTCTGCTTCCCTATCCCTTCTCCCCATCCCACCTCTTATGTTGCTTCCAGTGCATGCTCCATGTCCTTTGGTTTTTATACCTTTGCTCCCAGAGTCCTCTGTAAACCCAGCTCGGATGCATTTGCCTTCCAGAAGCTTTTCCAGATTCCCCAGCTAATGTCACTTCAAAGGCCCACTTGGGAAGCCAACCAACCACTCCTTGTATCATGTTCTAGCACATATTGGGGGTGACCAGTTGTCGTCATCTGAATTGTGTGTTGCCACAAATTCATGCTTAGATCTTAACCCCCAGGGTAATCTTAGGAGGAGAGGCCTTTAGGAGATAATTAGGTCATATAATGAGGACACAGCAAGAAGGCAGCAGTTTGTAACTGGAAAGAGGGCCCTCACCAGAATCCAACCAGGCTGGTTCCTTGATTTATAGCCTCTATAACTGTGAGGAATAAGTTTTTATTGTTTAAAAGTCACACAGTCTTTGGTAATTTCTTATAGCAGCCCATACTAAGACACCAGTGTACAAGTCTTATCTTCCTCACCAAAGACTATGACTCAATCATCTTACATATAGTGTCCAACGTAACATAGGTGCTCAGAGAATGAATAAGTGAATGTGTTATGAATTGAATTGTTTCCCCCTCAAATTCATGTGTTGGAGTTCTAACTTCCAGCACCTTAGAATGTGACCTTATTTGGAGATGGAGTCTTTATAGAAGTGATCATGTTGAAATGAGGTCCTAATCCAATAGGACTGGTGATCTTATATAAAGGGGGAAATTTGGACGCACAGAGAGAAGGCCATGTGAAGATGAAGACAGAGATTCCATAAGCCAAGGAATGCCACAGATTGCCAGCAACCACCAGAAACTAGGGGAGAGGCATGCCTTGATTTCAGATTTCTGGTCTCCAAAACTGAGAGACAATACATTTCTGTTGTTTAAGCCACTCAGATGGAGGCACTCTGTCATAGAAGCCCTAACAAACTCAGAATAAAAAGGAGAGTAGTTCACTTTATTATACTACAGAGGTTCTATACTTTTTTATTTAAATAAACTTTTTTGCCACCATGACTTTGGGCAGAATACTTTGAGGGATTTCAAACCTCAGTCTCTGCTGCCATATAATAAGGCCTCACGGCATCTAGGAAAACATCCATGGAGAGCCACCTGTACTTATCAGGATGCTTCAGTTGTGTGTTGCAAAAACCCAACCCAAAATAGTTTAAGGAAAACAGAGCTGTCCTAGCTATGGCTAGGAGAGACAGGGAAATCTCACCCCCAGCACAACTGGGCCCCATGATGCCACTGTTTCCCTCTGTGCAAGCATTCCATTGGTTTCTCATACAAGGACCTCCTAGAAACCTTGCACAGGAATTCCCAAAACCCCCTATACAAACTGTGCAGAAAGACCATTGACAACAGAAGAACCCCATGGTCTCAGTCTCTATACAAAAGGAGCAAAGCAAAGCAATGAGCCTTCCAATAGACCCAAGAACAGAAAACCCCAAAATAGCCAACACATCTTACCCAGAAAGTAGAGCAGATTAATTGGAGAAAAGCAGCTGAAACTGGAAAGCGTTTTGAAAACTCCAGTGTGTAGACAAGTGAAAGGACTGGAACAGTCTAGGTGCTAAAGTCTCTCAAAACAAGGCAGCCAGGGACCTTCCCAAATAACTGATAGAGTCTAAACTGAACAGAGCAGGTACAAGTGGGGCAAAGAAGGACCAGGTCTGAGCATCAGTGGGGAAAGGGGAGGGAACAGGAGCTTCTAGCTGTGCTACCAGAGTGAGTGTCTTGGCCTGCTCCTCTCTTCTGAAAGTTCTGGAACTGGTTTCATGAAGAATTGAGCAATAGAAGAGTATCAAAAGTCAACTTCCAAGCAAATTAATTCTAAAAAATGTAGGAAGGCCTAGGGATATGGCTCAGTGGCTAGTGCTTGCAGAGCATTCCCTGGGTTCTATCCTCAGTACTGCAAAACAAACAAACAAAAACAAAGAAAAGAAAGAGAAATAAAAACGTACAAAGAGGAAGAGAATCTGGTGTGGATGCGACAGGGAATATGGATCTCTTCAAATCCACCTTGTATTCTAGATTTTTCTTTGTAAACTTATAACTACTTTATTACATAATATAAAACAAAATTAAAATTAAAAAGCAACCCCTGATTATCAAAAACAAAATAAATGAAACTAATGAAATAAATGAAACTGCCTATCCAGTCAGTAATATAATCCCATAGAGAGGGACTGTTCTAACAAGACAGAAATCACACCAGTGTGACTACATGACCTAGTAGCAAATACCCTAAGGATCAAAAGACCTGTACAAATGCTAGGTTTTTGGTAATCATGTTATTGGTAGTAATGTTGGTATCCTTATTTTGAGATGTGTGTGTGTGTGTGTGTGTGTGTGTTATGAAATAGAGCAAATGAGTAATCACATGATGCTCCACTCCAATTCCTGAACAACTGGATTCTTAGTGGAAGATAAAGGAGACACAGATGTAAAACACACTGGCCTCCACTGGTGAGCCAAGTCATTATTTTGGGAATGGAGAAATAAAAGGAAAGAATCCAGTATTTATCCTCTCTGTTATATTCCCTGTGCCCCTAAGGAGCCCAAGAGTAGAAATAGGGCCTTTATCAATGTAGTCCAGCTAGTCAGTGAAGATTAGGAGTCAGTATGTTTGACATCTCCAATGCTTTGCTGGGTCTGAGAACTGAGTTCCAGCAACCACTCACACCCCCAGAACAAGTGGCCCTCCTAATAAAGTCAGCTTGCCAAAACACATCAACACACCAACCTGCCTCTAGCCAGACCTTCAGATCAGCTACCAAGGCACAGGAAAATGATAATGAGTTCAGTGGGATATTGCTGACTCAAGACAGAGGTGAGATTTTGAGGATGGACCTGGAGATGGGTGCCAGGGGATAATGGTGTCACTAGCCTCCTCAGTGCTTGGAAGGGCCCACATACAAAGCTTTTTGCCTGGGCAACTTCCAGGGGCAGAGCTTGGGCTGCCCTGATGAGACTTTTCACCTTTTGATTGGGCTGTGCCTCTGTGTACTAGGACTGTTCAAAATGGAAAGCCTGCCCCAGGCACCAGTCACTTCTCCCCAGAAGTGAGCACTCAAAGGCTGTGTGCCCTACACACAGAATTGGGACAAGATGGCTGCGAGAGTCTCTTTCAACCTTAAGGTTCTCGAAGTTACTCGCTTTCTGCAGTTGCCTCCCCCAGCTTCCCCATTGGTTGGTGGGTTGGTGTATTGCTCCAGGCCAGTCCTCCAGCCTCCTTGAAGCTTTAGGAGGTGTAAAACCAGTTCCTTCCCCAGGTAGGGGCAGCCGCCAGAGAGTTTTATGTAATGAAAGCCCACCAGCAGTGTAGACAATGACTACAGACCATAAAGAAAGAGTTTCTGAATCCTTCAGTGGACATGGATTCTTATCAGCTTAGGGAAGCCTATGTGGTGTTTGAAAATGCATCTTTCATAGTATGGTGTCATTTTATATCGGGAAAACACCCCCCCATTCATGTCATCATGAAAGCTAAGGGAGATGGTGGGATGTATAGAAGAGAGATTCCCTGGAGTCAGGAGGGTGGCTGGAGGCCCCCAGTGCAACCACCCTTGCCTGACGGTCAAGCCTGCATAGCACCTCTCGCTCACCTCTGGTGGCGTTGCTGTTGGTATAGGTGAAGATGCTCGACTGGGTGCTGTCCTCATGGCTGTCTTGCGGCTGCCCACCTGCAAGCCTTTGGGGGTCCCACCGCTGGGCCATGGCTGTGGAAAGCCCTGTCACTGATGCCTGCCAGCCCTGCATACTGCCTGGGGGTCATGGCGCTTTATACCAGCCTATGGGATCAGCCCAGGCCTCCTCACCTTAAAAGCTCCCAAACTCTTCACCATCTGATCTCTTAATTGGGCCGAGGACTTAGATCTCCTCCTCCCACCCCTCTTCCCTGCTCCTAAGGCCAGCCTGCAAGGGCAGCTCAGAGGGATTTGTTGGCAACTAAACTCAGACCCCCCACCCCCCGTGGGCTTGCAGAGGTGCCTATGGGGCCCTTGATCACGTTTATGTGTCTTCTCTTCTCTTGTATTGTGCAATACCAACTGTTAGGTCAGGTGGACCCAAGGGTAGGATTTTCAAATTAGGATGTGGATAAGGAAGTAGTCCAAAGCCCAAACCTTCCTTTCTCATCTGGCTCTCCCTGGGAGACCTTTCAGAACTGGGGTCTGGAACTGAATCTCCTTGAAGGACAGGCCATCTCAGCGGGCCCAATGGGTACAATGTGTCCAGTGGGGCTCCTCCCCCAGGTTGGGGCCCAGTTTCTAACTTTGTGGCCCTGGGGGACAGCTCCGCTGTGCATTGCTTTAACTTCTGCCCTTGCCCTTACTCCCCATGAGCTGCAGCCCTTTTGGTCACCAAGGTGCCTGTGCAGGCCCTCCTCCATGCACCAGCCTTGCTGCAGCACCTCAGGGTTCCCACAGGGTGCTCTGCTTTTGCCAGTTCTAGTTTACAATCTTTCCTTGGGTTGCCCTTGGTCACAGCCTCCTTCTTGACAGAGTGTTTCAGACAGACTACCTCTGCCATCCCTCTTCACCCACAGCAGTCTGATTGATGCTGGCTCCACACTTGGCAGGGGCCACTTGTTGTCCAATTCTGTAGCTTTATCTCGGTTGCCAACTATAGACCCCTGTTTCTCCTCCACAGTTCCCAATTAGGGAGCACATCCTTTCTCATGGCTTCCACCAGCTCTCCTCAACTCAGTCCTGAAATTCAGCTGTCTTAAGTCACCTCCTTAAGTTGGCCCCTTAAACTCAGTAAGCCACATTGGCTGGTGGCCTTCATGTCTCCATTCTTAGTGCTATGATTCTTCAGCACTCTTGGCCCCATGCTTATGGCTCCTGCCAAAACAGCTTCTCCTGCTGGCATAGGGGAGGCCCGGGTTAAACAGTGGAACCAGGTGGAGCCTCAGCTTGGCTGTGTATATCAGGAATGGCTCTTAGAGTTAGTCAGTGTCTGCCACATGCCAGGTGCTAGGATAGAGGTTCTATGTGGAATAGAAGTAAAGTGTCCTGGCCATAGCCTTGTGGGGGCTCATCTTCAGCCTGGAAAATATATGTCCTCACAATAACTTGTATACGAATATTCATAGCAGCACTATTCATAGAGGCCAAAAGGTAGAAACAACCTCAAAAGTCATCAATAAATGAATGAATAAGCACAGTGTGATCTATCTATGCAAAGGAATATTATTCAGCTATAACAAGGAGTGAAGTACTAACGTGTGCTACAATGCAGCTGACTCTTGAAACATCGCACTAAATGAAAGAAGCCAAACACAAAAGGCCATGTATTGAATTATTATGTCATACAAGACACCCAGAATAAGCAAATCAATTGAGGCAGAGGGAAAATTAGTCATTGTCAGGACACTGGAAGAGAGGAATTGGGGAATGAATCCTTAATAGGTGCAGGGATTCTTTAATGATAAAAAATATTCTAAAATTAGATTGTGATGATCAGCTACCGTGGAAAAGTTTGTCAGCTCCTCAAAAAATCAAACATGGAATTACAATGTGATCCACAAAGAAATACAGTCATGTTCACAGCAGCATTAGTTACCACAGCCAAGAGAGGGGCATAATGCAAGTGTCCATTGAGGGATGGATACATATTTCATATGATGAAATATTATCCAGTCTTAAAAAGGAAGGCAATTCTGACATATGCTACAACATGGATGTCCCTTGAGGACATGATACTCAGTGAAAGAAGCCAGGTACAAAAGGACAATACTGTATGATCCTGCTTCTAGGAGATCCCAAGAGTAAACGGATTGATAACAAGGAAAATGATGATTGCCAGAGGCTGGGAGCAGTTAGTGTTTAACGGGTGCAGAGTTTCAGTTTTGCAAGATGTAAAAGTTCTGGAAGTGGATGATGGGGATGGTTCCACAACAACGTGAATGTGCTCAATGGCACTGGACTGTGCCCTTGGAAATGGTTATGTATTTTATCACAATTTTGCAAATGTCAAAGGCAAATGGCCAAAAGGTTCCTTATCCTATAGCTGTTAATGACAAAGCTCCTAGCCTGCTGGACAGAGCTAGAGCTGAATGAAGGTGACAAGCAGCCCCTAGAACTCCTAATAAGCTCTCTCTCTCAAGGAGTCACTAAGGAGTATTTGGATTAGAAACTAATGGTGGTAATGACAGTGCAACTCAGGGAATGTTTTTCTCATTTGATCTTTCAACTATGTGGTCTTTCAGGCACAGCCACATTCCCCCCACAGGAAGACCTTCCTGAAAGTCCCGACCTCACAGCCCCTGCTCTGCAGCTGCCTCTCTGGACCATGGTTTTGTAGACTTTGGCTGTGCTGTATCTGGGATCTCTCAGATTGACTTTCCATTCTAACCATGAACATCCGGGACTTCCATGTTGTTTGGAAATGCTTTGTGAAGATGAAGTGCCACCTGACTAGGAGTCTAGCACAGGAGGTGTGGGGTAGCTGGGGAAAGCCTCTAGCCCCACTTGAGCCCTAGAGCTGGCCTTCCACTTGCCCTGCCTGCCCTTGTCCTGTATTATGCTAATGAATGAGCTCAGCACAGTCCCGCTGATGGACTTGGGCAGATATGCATCTGCCTCAAGACCTGGGGAGGTGAGCAGAGATGGGCAGAAGCAGTGAGTTCTGGACCTTCCCTGGCCCTGCACAGTGGGGTGCTAATCGATGATTAGGGCTAACAGAAGATCAAATCCTGATTTAGCCTAAAGCAGATTATTGTCCTAAAATGTCCCCTGGCATCTGTGAGGGCATGTGCACTCTCCAGCCCCAGTGAAAGCTCACTGGGTGTCCTATGCTCTTGCAAAAGTGTGGATAAATGAAGAGAGGGCACTGGAGAGGGAGATGAAGAGCAAAGGGTGGGTGAAGCAGAGCAAGACAGCACCGTCAGCTTGGCTCCAGTCCAGCAGCTCCCACTCTTGCTGCCAGCTGGGGCCCTGGCTGGGCTGGAAGATTAGATGATAGACTCGTCTCTAATCTGAGTACTCCCAAGTGACTCTATGAGAGAGAGCTGATTACGAGTTTTGGGGGCTTCCTGTCACCTTCATTCAGCTCTCAGCTCCATCCAGTAGGTCATGGGCTTTATCATTAACAGCCAGTGACTGATAGAGCTAGAGGACAAGGAATCAGTTGACCATTTGCCTTATTATTTTAAAAATTGTGATAAAACATAAAATTTACTGTTTCTGCCATTTCTAAGCATACAGTTCATGTTGTCATGCAACCATCACCACCATCCACTCTAGAACTGTTTCATCATGAAAAACTGAACTCTGCATGAATTCATTCCTTCTCACCTCAGCACCTGGCAACCACCACTCTAAGGAACTTCTATAAGTGGAATCCTGCAGCATTTGTCCTTTGGTGCCTGGTTTCTTTTACTGAGTACCATGTCTTTGAGGGTCATTCATTGCCTTTGTCTGTGCATTTGGAATAAGCTTGCATCCGTTGAGTTTTAATTTTATGTGGTTAAGTATGACTATGCTTCCCATTTGTTTTCTGGCTTCTCTACTTTGTTGGAAAAGCTCTGTCTGCCCTAAGTTCCTTAGAGATATATAAACATGCACCATGAGTAAATTCAAAAGGCCAGGGTCAAACTCTTTTACCATTTCTGTGAATGTTTCATTGTGTCCTGAATTGCTCACCTCAGAAACTGACAACAGTTGGATTACCCTTACCACTACAGCTGTTGGGTTCCCCAAACTTGCTGATGTTCCCTCCTCGCATAACAGTGATCATTCTATTCCACTTCTGACTATACCAAAGTTTAAATGGATTTAGAGCTGGGTGTGTCATTGTTGTATCATCTTCTCCAGTTCTCAGACCCTTTGGGCTCATTCACAGAAGTACTTTTTCCCACATGAATGAATAAGCAGTAGCTAGGAAGTCTGGGTACAAATCACCAAAATGTGAATTGGTGAAAATTCTTTTTGCTGTGGCAGCCACATTATCACCATGGAGAAGACACACAAAATATTATTAGTTTACAATATTACGAAAAAAACCTGTGTCAGGCTTTTGTTGTTTTGTCTTCCTTGTTTCTTTTTCCTTGTATTTTTAAGCTGATTTCTTTTGAGATGGGGTCTTGTTATGGTTCCCAGGCTGGCCTCAGCATCCCAAGTAGCTGGGATGACAGGTGTGTGCTACTGCACTGGGTTTTTTCCCCCTATGGTACTGGGGATTGAACCCTGGGGTACTCTAGCACTGAACTACATCCCCAGCCTTTTTTATTTATTTATTTATTTTCTGAGAAAGAGTCTTGCTAAGTTGCCCAGACTGGCCTTGAACTTGCAATCCTCCCAGGAAAAGGAAGCATCCAGCTTTTAAATTGATTTTTTTTCACTTGAAAAAAATATTTTATTCCAAATACGATCCATATTTTACAACCTAATTCCAAGTCAAACCTTAGATTGTACAGAATTTTCATTGTTTTTGAGCTAGTTAAGTGTTTAATTTACAAAAAGCCTTCAAAAAGATATATTTTCCAAAGCAAATCATAAAAGGACAAATACTGTAGGATTCCATTTAATATGAGGCCCCTAGAATAGTCAAATTCATAGAGACACAAAGAAGGGTGGATGCCAGGGGCTGGGGGGAAGGAGAAAATAATATGGAGTAGTATTTCATGGGTACAGAGTTTCAATTTGATATGATGAAGATGTTCTGGAGATGGATGATGATAATAGTTTGCACAAAAATGTGAATATATATTGTGTGTATTTTAAATTTTTTTGTAGTTGTCAATGAACAGCATGCCTTCCTTTATTTATTTATTTTTACGTGGTGCTGAGGATTGA